TTAAAATTATAACTAAAATGAAAATTTAAATTTAAAATAAAATAAAAAACTAAAATTAAATTTAAAATAAAAATTTAAAATTAGAATTAAAAATTTATTTTGAAATTAATTTTAAAATGTCAAATTTCTTTACATTAAAGTTGAAATTCGAATTAAAAAAGTAATTTTAAAATAAAAAATTTCTTTAAATTATAATTATAACTAAAATGAAGATGAAATTTTAAATTTAAAATAAAATAAAAAATTAAAATTCAAAATTCAAAATTCGGATTAAATAATTAATTTGAAAATAAATTCTAAATTAACAAATTTCTTTAAATTAAAATTAAAAATTTAATTTCAAATAAAGAGTTAAAATTAGAATTAAAAAAATAATTTTAGAATAACAAATTTCTTTAAATTTGATCAAGAAAAAAATATGTAATTAACAATTTCAAACATTTAATGATTTAAATTAATTTAAGAAATTTAATATTAAAAAAATGGCCGTTAAACAGCTGGTTCTAGGATCGGCTGTTAACATCTGGGTTCAGCCCGGCTGTTAACAGTTGACGGTTGACAGTCGCCCGACTAACTGCAACCTTTTCATCTCCACTCTCTGGATTCTACTATTTTCGACGAGTTGGAGCTTGAACCCAGCTGTTAACAGACAACCGACCAACTAACTACAACCTTTTCATCTCCACTCGTCGAATTCCACCATTTTTGACGAGTTGGAGCTCCCAAAATCACAAAAATTGGCCAATACACTTCATCTATACGCAAATCTAACCTAAATCATGCATTCCATTCCACAAAAAATATATTCCAACCAATAATCTAACTAAAACTAAACAAAATTCAATAATTTAATCATAATTCCACAAAAGCTAACCTTTACAACTTTTAAAAGCCGGCAACCGGAAGTTCTTTGGTGAGGGAGATGTCTGGACGGCCGACTGTCAGCAATTCAATTTGAATTCAAACTTAGGGTGCCGAAGGCGCCTTCAGCAAAGAAATTTGGAACCCCCTTTAAAAACAAACCTTTAAACAATGAAAAGTCTTGCTGAATCTGATTTTTCCTTTTCATACTGTCGAGAGAGGAAGATGAAGGGATATTTTTGAAAAAGTGTCTTTAAATTGTATTTTCATTTTTTTTTTTAAATCAGTCAAAAGTCAAAGTGAAAATAAGGGTGGATCAAATGACCATTTTCATTTATGGTGCGTTTGATTACATTTATTTACTAAGAAAAATATCAGTTTTCCCCTCAAATTTCTACTTAGAGCGTTTGATTGCTATTTTTTTCCATGAAAAATATTTTTTAACTTTTGAAAATATACATAATTTTCCTTATTTTTAAAAAGAATATTTTTCTTAGATAAAAGTAATTTTTATTTTTCACAAAAAATAAAAATATTTTCTTTACTGGATGATATTTTTCATATCAGCCAAATGCACTCTATTTCCTCTTAACCCAAGAAGGCCAGGGAGCATTGCTTACAATCACAACCAACAAATACCATAACAAGCCATTGTTTCCTGTCTGTCCCATTTCAGCATTCACGCTTTCCCACTTCCCAGTTTCATCTAAAATCATCCAAATTATTCTTCAACACCAGCAGCAGATCTACTTTTAGTCGATTTTTTCTGTCGTTTGTTACCAGTATTGCATTGAACGGTTTGCCCCAAAATTTTTCACTTTGATTTCATCTTCAGGTTAGTCATACTGTTTCAGTAATATATTTCTGATTTTGGGAGCTATAATATGTAATGGTTGTTATTTAAAAGACCCATTTCTCAATTTCGTGTTAATGTTAAGAATAATTTATTTTCCCTACTTTTTTGTTTCTTTTCTGCTTCTTTATGTCGATATGTTCATCCATTAGTTTATGATAAAAAAATTTATGTTTCTGAAGTAATTTTTTTTGGGATTAGGGTATTTCAAGTTTCTGGGCAATTCGAGGGGAGTTCTGAAGTAATTTTTTTTGGGATTAGGGTATTTCAAGTTTCTGGGCAATTCGAGGGGAGTTGTTCGTTCTGTATGTAGCTGTAAAAGTTACTGCAATCAAGTAAATAGGCCAAGTACTAGATTCTTGCACTTGAGGTTTGCATTGATTTTTTGTTGAATGCCCCATTGTTTATGCCTTTAGGTTTCCCCATTACATAATTTTGACATTTGATAACGGGTCTTGTAGCAAATGGAGCCGCTATTCTACATACTGATAGCTTTGCCTTGTACAATTGGGGCAATTTCGTTGGCGCTTCTCCACATTTACAGGCATCTCATGAATTATACTGAACCCACATATCAGAGATACATTGTCCGAATTATCTTTATGGTTCCTGTAAGTATTCAGCGGTCCCCAGGATTGATTCTCTTAACATTACATCAATTTCAATCCTCTTTGTGCATTTGACTTAATGGTTAGCTTTTAAACTCACTAAACTCTTATTTGAATTCTTCAATATTCTTTATTACTTGAGGGAGAAAGAGGAATGGGTGGGTTCAAAATTGATGCACACAGAATTGTACAATAATGGTCTATTAAAAAGGATCGCAGCTAGAAAATTACTAGGAGGTGTAGATGATTGCGTTTATGTAGCAGTGATTGGTAGGGTAATTCTTACTTGGTTCTCTCATATCTGCATGTGAGTCAAAGTATTTAGGGAAGTAAAATTTTAATTTCTTGCTGCATAATGAACTATTATATTCTGCCTTTGAGCTTTCCTAGTGTGAATGGAAGTTTCAAGGTAAATGACGAGAGTAAGCTGGCATTGCATGCACATCATAGTTGGATTTATGAATGGAATAGCGGTTGATAGGCATGATTCTCATTTGTAATGATATTTATAAATTTGTGTTATTTTTGTGATATCCATCTGAAGCATCCTTTTTCTTTTTTTCTGACTATTAACTGGTCCTCTGAAGTTGGAAGGTTTTGTAAAGATCCCCATAGGACTTGAAAGGATTCTGTCATCTTTTGACTATTCACAGAATGCTTCAATATCAGCTATATACACAAGTCTTGCACCATGTTATAGTGTCAGGAAACACAGAGTTATCAAGATGAGATAACAATGTAAAAATCTGGGCTGAGATAACTTGTAAACTGGCAAAACTTGGCCATAAAGAGTCATAAATACCTGGATGATATTTTGTTCAGAGCATGACAAGACCTTTTATGCAAAATATAACAGATTAACAGCTTTTTGCAAAAGGGAAAGGTTGCAGATGTCTGATCACACCGAGTGGCAGTCAAATCTGATAATATTTCAAAATTTCTGACCTTCAAGTAAGGTCTAGAGAGATTTTAGGGACCTACATGTCAGTATATTTTTTTATTTGACATGATTTTTTCCAGATAAAGGTTTCAGTGAATCTTTTTTACTTTACTAGTTGAGATCCTCCATGCATGTATATCTTATTTTTTGAACTGTTGTGATGGATATTCTAGATGTTTTCAATGATGATGAAATATTTCGTGAAGGCTTTTTAGAGTGAAATTCCGTTTGGTACATCCAGTTATGGTAACGTTGGAAGAAATTGAGGTAGAACTCTGGGGGTGATGCGTAGTATTTTTGCATGTAATGTAGGTAGTCTCTCTTTAAGTGCTGGTTTGGGCTCTAGGGTTCTGGGTATACATCTTAGAGAGTTGTACCTCAAAAGTTAGCTAAAGAAGTCGAAGAGATCAAATCTATATTAACCCACATTGAAAGTCCTCCATACTTCCAATATGGGATACAAATTATGTACTTTACAATAGGAACCATGACAAACCACCATATTTCGTGATCCCCATGCCCACGAAGGTTTTGCTTGCATTAACCCCGTGACTAGGCTGGAATTAACACTGCTGTGTCGGCTTTACAATCTGCGCCACTCAATTGCAATCAGGAGATGTGGTGCCTGCTCTGATCCATTATTATATATAGATTTGGAGAAAGCCATACCTCAAAGCAACTTGTTGAAGTCAAAAAGCCCAAATCTATATAAATCCTAGACTGAAAAAAAGTATACATGTGAAATTCAAGTCCCATACCTTGCAATCAGAACCATGACATTGAGCTTATTTGTCATTTCTCTGTTTTATTAATGTTATGTTAGAATCTGAATTACTATAGAATCGGTTTTCACCATTTCTTTTGTGGTAATTTACTGGTGATAACAGGATGTTCTTCATGCAATGAGCTGTTTCTTCTTTTATTCTTCCTTCCCTCTCCCTTGCTGGTGTAATAAGCTGCTGCTTCTTCCTTACTGTATTATACCTTTCCTCTTTAACTTAAGTACTAAGTATGTTTTTACCTCTTTTAAATGGATTTTTCTACCCTCCTATGATATATCCTTTACTTTCTTTATGAGCATATTACCAGATAGGTAATCTATCCCTTCCCATGTTATTTCTTGTTTGCCAAAGCAGTAGAGTAGACAGTTTTAAAGTAAAATTATCCTAATTCACTACATTTCAGGAAATTACACTTGAAACTAATATGCATGTACTAATCTTAAAAGTGTCATTTTCCTTAAAATCAATTATGTTTTTAATTTACAAGATGGTCATTTTGATCAAGAGTATATCAACGTTACTTTGTCACATATTGTTGAACAGAGAGTGATGATAATACATGTTTAAAGTACTGCAAAATGTTCGAGCCCTTTTTAATTTAATCTTTTTAGTGTTTGTAAATGTGTTTTAACCTTTATGATATTGTCTTCTCAACAGGTTTATGCATTAATGTCATTCTTGTCCCTCATCATAAACAAGGGTGCAATCTACTTCAATTCTATCAGAGAAGTGTAAGTTGTCTTTGAACATGCTTGAAGTATAATTAATAATTTTTAGTGCTGCCCCTTTTCCTGTCTGTGTGACTGATATAATCATCAATAATGTCATTTTTATCCTTTTTTTATTTTATTTACTGTTCTTGCATGCCCCAGGACTCCTCTTGGACGCCCTTATCATCATCTTTTGCTGCCCTTGTCTTTTTAACTTGTAAAAATCAAATGATAGCTCTAATATGCATGAAAGGTTCCCAGTTCTCACACAGCTTGTGTAGAGATTGCGGGTAGAGATAATTGGAAGAGCCAAGGTTTTGAAACTATGACTGATGTTTTAGAATTTTTTACACACAAATATTAGAAGAAGTTATAATCTTTCTTTTATTTTCTGATAATTACGTGAAAATGATGTAAATTGCGCTGTGCATATCTGCATGGATTCCAACAGTGCTATGCAATATTATAGATTGCCAAGTAGGGTGACCACGCACATCACTGTTTTTTAAGTATGATATCCGGGTCATCTCTTTGACAAAGAATAAACTTTTCAGAATTGTCTTTATTAATGTAATAATTTGATCTACTTGAGAGTAAGTTGATGCCACGTGCTTTCTTTTTCCTGAAAAAAATTTAAATGTGCTAAAGCCTTTTTTTATAATTGTACATGGTATATTAGCGGTTTTGTCTTTTACTGCTTAATTTGTTTTTCTCTTTTAAGAGTTTTAATAAAAGATTAAAAACAGTTTGTGACATTCATCAGTGGTTTGCTTCCTCTTGTTCCTAGTTATTTTTCTGGAGTATTGTATGGGATAATTCATACATTGAGATCATCTTACATCCAAAACTAAGATTGTGCTGAAGTACTCTGGCAAAGCATAATCATCTACCCCATAGAACTAGCTTTCAATAGTCTATCTTCTTAGATAGCATGCACTAGATCTGCCTTTATTTTTCTCTTCAAATCTGCTATAGTTGATTGCTTGTATTTGCTTTGCACCGTTAATTGCTTGCTGTTTTTCTGCTTTTACCTTATGACTCCAATGGTTATAATTTTTTTCCTTGCTTTTGGCAGATATGAAGCTTGGGTCATTTATAACTTTCTGTCATTATGCTTAGCGTGGGTTGGTGGACCGGGTGCTGTGGTGTTAAGTCTGAGCGGAAAAGTTCTAAAGCCAAATTGGTGGTCAATGACATGCTGCTTACCTCCAGTTCCTTTGGATGGGTGAGTCGCCTACACATGAAATTACTTGATTGATGCAATTCATTTGCAACAATTTTTTCCTCTCCACCAGGTTTAATTGAAAAGTCAAATAAACTAGGTATTAGGAATGTGATATATTCTTGAAGTACATCTTGTTGATTGGGTTATGAGTGGTCAGAGCAGATATATTTTGTAGAAATTGGATTATGTAAAGATCTGGAAATTTTTGGGAATATGTAGACTGATCACGTGATTCCACAAGTGCACAGATCATGACAATTAATAAAGTGGATGTTGGGTTCAAATATCATTCTGCAAAGACTAAATATTTGCTATCAAATTTTGTAGTTACCTAGCTTCTATCAAAATTAATGTCTTAATAATTTACCAAATCAAGCGTTTATATTCTAACTAAATTATACTAAATTAATCTAACCAACCTAATTTATGGAAAGTTTTTGGGATTAAGTGGTTAGAAATTTTGATTTTATTTAGGTCAATTGATGTTCATTCAATCTAAATCCATTCAGTCTCTTTTCAGATTTACTATATCTTTACATAAATTCATACAAATGAATGCATTAACTAATAGAAATTCTAGCAAGATTGCATAAACTATATTATCTTTCGATCTTTTATAATACCTATGTCACTTATTGCACTAGCTAGAGTAATATATCACCTATCGGTCTCAATATTATCTGTAAATCAACTAATTGGTGGCCAACCAATTGAATGCAATTAAAACATAATAAGTAATTGACAAGTAATGAAGTTTCATGAAATCTTTGGAATTATGTAAATTTTAAACCTAAAATATATAATTCATCCTAACAAACAATGATTGAGGCAATCATAGCCCCTATTTGACAACCATTAAAATGAGTTTTAGAATAGTGATTTTTTTTAGAGAATATGTGGTTAAAAAGTAGGAGAAAAAGTTTTAGGTTTATATGCAGAATAATTTATTGTGAGAACATGTCGTTAAAAATAAATTTAAGAAAAAATTTTAATTTTAATGATCGTCAAACAGGGGCATAATTGTGAAGTGAAATAATAAAAAGACGAAAAAATAACCGGGTTTAATACAAGGACAAAGAAACGAACCCCGGCAATTGTTGTTTCACTTCCCAACAATGGATTATCAGTCTCCTCTTCAAAGTTCAACCTTTAAATCTCAAATTGAGATACAAATATTCAATATTTAGCCTCTCTTTTGCCCCCATTAAAATTATTATTTATTTTTCTCCCTCTCAAAATCAATCACACATTCTCCAATAAAATAATATTGCACATAATCCCAAACTCTTTTTTTTTATTATTATTATATAACCACATATTCTTAAAAAATTAAAAAAAATTAAAAAAAAAATATTTCAACCATCAAAATTTCAAATAATGGGTGGCAAACGGGAGCTTAATGTATTTGGATGTGTAATCTTGCCTCAAGATTGTATATCTAGCCTCCCTTTTAATTGAATAAAAGATTCCTATTTATATACCTCAATTTAGGTCTAAAAGAGAGTCCTAAGATGATATGGAACCGTAATTTTAGTCAAAATAGGATATCCCAAATTAATTATATTTATACTTTCACTTGTTTAATTTGGTCATTGTTTCTTCTTTTTTTTAGGATTCACTCCTTAAATATTGCAACTGGTTTCCTTCAACTTTCAAACGTGACTACTTGGTCTCCAACTTCCAAAAAAGTCAACTTTAGTCTTTTTTCATTTATTATCATTCTTTTTATCCGTTCTCGTCCAACATTGAGTTGTCTCCTAAAAATATCAATAAACAAGTATAATTGATATCAAGTTTGTAATAATCACTTCTAAAGGTTACTTTTAATGGTCAAGGTAAGTGTGAAATTATACGTATCATAGACATAATAGCATATTCATATATTTAAATTATTTTGCCCTTTCAGTTATTTTGTGTGTTAAAATTGTGTTTAAGGTGTTCAGCTAGGCGGCACTTCAATAACTCAGTATGATTATGCACAGAAATTGTTTTACTAGTCATGTCTCCTACGTATGTTTACAACGCAAAATTATGGGACATGCGTCCTGTTCTCTTGTCCAACACTCAAGTGTCTAACATGGGCAACTACATGAATTGAGAAGAGTCCATGAAAGAGTAAGATGAATAGTGTTCCTACTACTTAATTCCGGGATATTTTTACTCAGATGATCCTTGATCTATAATAAAACTCAAGAACTTTTAGAGCTACTGTATGTCCCAAAGATTTTATGTTAGCACAGTCCAGAACAGTTTAACAGCACACCTCGCTTATTTGCTGGAAACATAATCAGCTGTGCCCTAAAGCCGAAAGCCCTAAAAATGTTGGGCGCATTGTGTCTATGCTGCTTGATTTGGTGCTACAGTTTTTTAATCTAAGGGTAGTTCAGCAAGTTTTATGGCATGATGTGTCCCACGACTTTTGTGATATCCAGCATCTGTAATTGTTTAGCAGGTCAACAACTCAATTAATTGATCATTTTATTCTTTGTAGTGGGTTGAATTCTGATGTTTGAAGCTGTTTTTGGGGTTGGTATTATGTAATTTTCTGTTTAGTGTATGACCATTGCATATCTATAGAATGCATTTCCTTTGTTACTTTTGGTGAACAACATTTCTCATACAGTTTTTGAAGCTATGCAGTCGCTTTATACGAAGGTGCAAGCAAGGATGCTTGCAATTTGTGATCCTCAAGCCTATTCTAGTAGCCGTTACATTTATACTTTATGCAAAAGGGAAATATGAAGACGGAAATTTCAGTCCAATGCAATCCTACCTCTATCTCACCATTATTTATACAATCTCATACTCAGTGGCACTTTATGCCTTGGCCTTATTTTATGTGGCCTGTAGAGATTTGCTTCAGCCATTCAATCCAGTTCCAAAGTTCATCATTATCAAATCAGTTGTATTTCTTACTTATTGGCAGGTAGGATACTGTTCAATATTGATATATAGGAATAAGATTAAATTTGAAGCATGCTTATTTTATTGTCAATTTTGGGAATATAAATATGCCTTTTCAAGTCCATATGAATGGGATACATAAGAACGACCATGCACCTGTAATTATGTAGTTGGAACTTGGAACCCTAGGTGGAAAGGCATCCTGTATTAATAATGTGGTATTATGTTTTTTAAGTTTTAATTTGTATTATCTGAACTTGTTGCTTTTTGAGGTACTTCAAGGTTGCATCATCTTAATCCCAGTCAACCTGTTGAAACATGGCAAACTGTTGGTCACCAAAAACAAAATATATTGCCGTTGTTGAGGATTATTCAGACTTCAGGTTGATGGATTGCGGTCCACCCATGGCAAACTCCAATGGGTGTTATATGTAGTAAGCCACCATAAAATTGAAATCTTCTTGCAATCTGCTACTTCTCTTTTGCTACTTTTTACACTTATCTGCATCACTATGTTTCTCCTGACCCTTTGGTAAAACAAATTTCCATGGCTCCACCATACTGTAATTTTCACACTGTCACAATGTCTTTTCTCTGACCATATAGCTCTAGCTGCATGATGAAGAGTTCCCATTGTTGTCAGTGAAATTTTATCTTCTCTGTAGAGCCATTGCTAATATTGATGCTTGTCATTTTACATTTTGCTTGGTAGTTTTCTGCTGTTCTTCCTCTGAGACTTTTTAATTGTTATTGCTGTTCTGAATTATTGTCATGAAACCAATACAAGCAAAGAACTGTGGTTTATGATTTAAATTGCATTAACAGTATCTGCCTCCAGCTTGATAACTAAATTAATTTACTTTCTGAGAATTATTACTTGTTTCAAGAACTCCTCATAAACTCCTGTATTTACAGGGGGTTTTGATATTTCTTGCTGCAAAGACTGAGCTAATAAAAGATACAGTGGAAGCTGCAAACTTTCAAAGTTTTATAACTTGTGTTGAGATGCTCATTGCTGCGGTTGGTCATCTTTATGCATTCCCATACAAGGAGTACGCTGGTGCAAATATTGGTGCTTCTCGTGGCTTTACAGCAAGCCTCGCACATGCTCTGAAATTAAATGACTTTTACCATGATACTGTCCACCAGGTGGAAATTTCTATTCAAGCATATATTTTTATTCTCAACCACCACCCTGAGTTGGTAGCGAACAACTCGTTTAACTTGATATTCCATTTTATGTTGCAGTTTGCACCAACATATCACGATTATGTTCTCTATAACCATAATGATGGTGACGAGGGAACAAGGAAATACAGGGCACGAACCTTCGTTCCAACTGGCCCAGAAATGGATGCAGTTAGACGGAATAAAAATACATTTGGTAACAAATCAGAAGATATACAGTTGTCTAGTTTATCATCTCCAGCCAATTATACTCCTCAGAATCCAGGCATGGGGCACAATTTCGTGAAATCAGAGGCCATTAACACGTCATTACTCATGGACGCATCGAGCGCTCTCTCTATGCCTTATGACCTTTCCCTCATTGACTTAGACAGGTCTAATAACTCGGCAAAAGTGCCTGCAGCAAATGAAGGTGGGAGAAGGTGACAAACGGGTGCTAGAGAATTAGAAATCTTGTCCGACTTTTAAACGTATTTTGATTTGGTGTAGAAAGGCAAATTTGTATTCATTTTTCTGTTACATGAGTTGTAGGACTCTACAATTATGCATATAGGCAAATATTTTTCTCCATTTCTTTGTAGTCATTTTACTCATCTGTTGGTTTATTCTTGTGGATAGTGTTTTTACTTGAGATTATAATACTGTATACGAAATTCCGGGTTTTAATTCTTTTTGGAGCAATGTAATCTAAGATATTCATACTAATAAATTGTTGTGTCATGTTTCCCAAAATGTGTGAATTAAAAGTAGATTTGGCGATAAGTGATTAAAAAAGAACACGCTACAAAAGATGCTAGTGGGTCACTGTTGTACGCAAAAAAATATAAAAACCAAGGACTTTGCTACTTGTACAATTTTCTTTACAGTATCTGACAATAAATGTGTGAAAAAGAATTTGTACAAGTAGCTTACAGAACGAAAGGGCTTTGGGCAGTGTTACTTTTCCAGCATTTGTTCTTAACACTAACACGAGTTTTGTATGCCAGCTTTGTTCTTTGCTTGGCAAATACTTTTCCTGCCGTCCAAAATATTCTTTGCTTTAGCTTCTTCAAGCTATGCCAATCATGTTAATCAGTCCCCTTCAACATTCTGTAGTTATATAAGTCTGCTTGTCTACATCATATTATTCCCCTCAAAATCTTTATCCAGAAATGGAAGGTGGTGGCCGTTCGTTCGAGTATACTCCGACATGGATAGTTGCTCTTGTCTGTTTGATCATTGTTTTCATTTCACTCAGCGCGGAGCGGGGTCTTCATTATCTTGGCAAGGTAAAATATATAAATGCATATAATCCCTAATTGTTTAAGTTTTTAGATAAAATGGTTTAACTCGATTTTTGTTATCCCGTTATTTTCAGTGTTTCGTGCATAAGGGACAAGATGCACTAAATGAAGCTTTACAAAAGCTAAAAGAAGGTTTGTTGGATTTCTACCTCTCTCATTTTTCTTAATGTTAGAATTTTTGGAAGGAACAGGCTAACTAAAAGTTGCAAAATAATTTATAATTTGATTAATTTCTTGATTTGAACTTTTTTATTCTTTTGCAGAATTGATGCTTTTGGGGTTCATTTCACTGCTACTAACTGTGTTTCAAGGTCTAATAAGTGACATCTGCATCCCTGCTAATCTTGCAAATATTATGCTTCCATGCAAGCCACCGGAAACCGGCTCCTCAGCTGGTTCCCATCTGCTCGCAAACAACGGAAGGAGGCTTTTGGCTGAAGATGCTCATGAAAATCTCTGCAGAAACGTATACATGAAAACACTATATTTCAGTGTCGAGATGTGTGTGTGTGCGCGCGCATGCAAGCGTGTACGTACAGATATAAATATATAATCTACAAATTATTTTAATTGTGACAGGGAAAGGTCCAATTTTTATCTTTGGAAGCGTTACATCAGTTGCACATATTCGTATTTGTTTTGGCTGTTGTTTATGTGATATTCTGTGCGACCACAATGTTTCTTGGAGTGGCCAAGGTATGGCTCAAACTTGTACTTCGATTCATTTTAGCTTATTTTCTTTCATACTAATATTATTCTTAATATAGAACTAACTTGAGGGGTCTCCTTAGTAGCAACTTTAATCTTGAACTCTCGAGTAGTGAAATTAAGATAATGCAGAAAGATGTAATCACTACATCACACTTGTTGGTTCTAAAAATATTGAGAACATTAAACGAAATTGTGTGAAAATCTCAATAAAATCTAAGTTGTAGCTAAAAAGTAAATCCTGTTTGACAATCATTAAAACGGAACTCTTTTTATTTATTTTTACAAACTTATTTTCAACTACACATTTTCACAGAAAAATATTCTGCACGTAAACCTTATAATGCATGCAATAACTAGGGATCAACTACGCATACAGGTAAGTGAATGGAGACACTGGGAGCGTTCAATTAGAGAGGAAATGTCACCAAGACGATGCCATGGTAATTAATTTAAATTCATTATTATTTCTAACTTTTCAACTACATGTTTATATATATATATATATTCTATTTTCAGGACATCCTCATCATTTCAAAGAATTCATGGGACGTGCAGGCAGATATTGGAGAAAATTTCATGTAGTGAGTTGGATGGTAAGTTCCCTATCAATGTTATTTAAATTTTGTGTTACAAATAATAAATATTGAGAAATTAATTCAAATTTGGATTCTTGATGCAGGTAGCATTTTTCAAACAGTTTCACGGCTCAGTTACTAAGTCAGACTATATTGCGTTGAGATCAGGATTCATACAGGTATCATATAAAATTAATTCTTCATAATATTTTCTTCTATAATTAATTATTTGTAACAGACTTTTTTTGTGTTATAGGAACACTGCCCTAATAATCCTAATTTTGATTTTCACAAGTACATGCTACGAACACTGGAAGACGATTTTAAGAAAATCATCGGTATAAGGTGAAACACGAGATTTAATCGAACTATAATCCATGATTATACTTGGGAGTTTATGCTAATCATGCTGGTAAATTGTCTAAAAACAGCTGGTACTTGTGGCTCTTTGTTGTTGTCTTTCTGCTTATGAACATTGCAGGTACTATTAAAATTCAATGCCCTTTTTTGTTAAATGCATTAATATTTTCTAACTTTTCGACGCGAAATTGTGGGTTAAAATTGCAGGATGGCACACATATTTTTGGCTATCATTCTTACCTCTAGTAGTAAGTGAAGTGAACTGACTTATTGCTCAATGAAAAATTTATTTATACCTATATGTGTGCGCGCGCGCGTTAATTATTGGAGTGAATTTCAGCTTCTACTTATTGTGGGTGCTAAATTGGAGCACATAATCACTCAATTAGCAAAGAATGCCGTAGAAAGAACTTCAGGCGACCCTGAACGCACAGTGGTTAAGCCTTCTGATGAATTGTTTTGGTTTCATCGACCCCTCATTGTTCTTTACTTGATACACTTCATTTTGTTCCAAAATTCGTTTGAGATTGCGTTCTTCTTTTGGATTGTGGTAAGTATGCATTCGCAGCTTCTTTGAGTTGGGAAAAATTTTAACCAACTGAAGTTGATTGAGCAAGATGAAATAAATTTCCCAAGTGAGTTACTGTGAAATCTTGGGTTTTCTACTCTATGCAGTGCACATACGGATTCAAATCATGCATTATTGAAAAACTGATTTTCATCATCCCCAGACTGGTTATTGGGTACGTAACCACTTGGAATAAAAATAAAATGATTGATTTTTTTTGTAACGACCCAAGTCTTTGTGCCTCATTCGTTAACTTGATGATCATATTATATCATTTTATGAATCGACCAATAATGTCATTATCGTTGGATTAACAAGACACTGAATAAGTTGCTGTTGCATTGATGTTGGATCAGTAAATTAATGGATGATATTATTTTTTCTTTGGATTCTCTTTCACTCTACTTTTTAATGAGAATTAAACGTTTATCCATTTTATCTTTGAAAAGATAAAGCTAGTCAAGCCTTGGGTCTGTTTCCCAATGGTCACAAGTTCGAATCTCCTCAGAGTCATTAAGGTGAGTACTCGACTATAAATTTCAGGGTCTCGTGAAATTAGTCAAAGTGCATATAAGTTGGCCTAGATACTCACGGTCATAAAAATAATAAAAGATCTGAAAAGATAAAGCATATGTCACTTTTGTTTCATTTTCGTATCAATTTAGATAGAAATAGTCCTATGAGACCATAGATTGAAAATGAAAATGAGACACAACCTTTCATTGGGCTAGACAGTTCGAAGGAAAGATCGAATGTCCAAAAATGGAGAAGAATAATATCCATCAGAGTTTTTGAATCCAAAGTTTTCTGAATTGAAAAGGTATTCTTCTTTTCCTTAAAGACCCATCACTATTAAATAAAATTATCCATGGAAAAATCCGTTAATGTATGAATATTTTCAGTTAGTATATAGAGATTAATTGATGAAAAATTTCCACTGGTATATTGTCAGACAATTTTTCTATTTTTAAGTAATTTTTAGCATGCTATTTAAAAAAAATTAAAAATAAAAATAAAACAAGAACAACGAATAAAGCAAAAGGCGCAATAATTGTTGACCTTCAAATATGGTTGAAATTCAGCGCGATGTTACTTGCATACTTGGATGCACGTATTAGAGGCGCAAAACTGAAGCTTCTCCAAATAAATACGGGGAGATTGCAATTGTATGCACTTTGACGTTCAATTCAATGGACGGATATATAATTCAACGTGGGAGAAATGCAAAGGAGAAGAAATGCAGGAGCAAAGTTCATATTTTTAGAGTAAAAATACTAATTTGCAACAATTATCTTCAAAATGTCACAAAGTGAGAATTTACGGGCAAATGAATGGGTCTCAGGTCTCTCAAACTCTTCACGTGTGGCTTCATCTCAACGGCTTACAAGTCAAGTGCTAAATATCATATCATAGTCACCATAGCCGTAGGTATGTGACCTCCCATACAAAAGAGAATTTTGATTCTAACCATTCTTCCATAGATTTCACACCATTTAAATAGCACAACTCTAACCACCTTGTGCTTCGAAGGCCCATCCAATGTGGCTAAGAGTTGGGCCCATGTGTGATCGATCATCTTGGAATGGATAGAAGTGATAAATCTGCAAGCAGATATATCACCCCCAAAGGTTTTTGTCAATGCTGTATTGGATGAGCTCTTAACACCTCTAAATTGAAAGTAGTCGATGCGATGGTAGTGGTCTCACCACCCTGAACCAACAACACTAATAAATTCCTAAGAGCCCATCGTCATGTAACTCGCAATAGAACCAATTCCTAAGACTTTGAAACATAGGGGCGTGGAAAAGAACCAAAGACAATCGAAACAAATTAGAACTAGTCGATTCGTTTCAGTTTTGCTTAAATTTTAATCACATCTAGTTCTTACAACCAGAATCGGCCAGTTTTGATCCAATTCTAATTTCAGTACCAAGAATTGAGAATCGATGCTAATTAACCACTTATTTAATTAATTATATTTATTTATAATTTCGTGAATAATTTTTCTAGACAGCATTTTAAATGAAGATGGAACTTATCATTTGTATTGAATGATTATTATTTTTTGGTGATAGAAATTTGTACTATAATTTGAAGTAATAATTTGAAAATTTCGATTTCGTATCCGAACCAAATCAAACCAATCTAGAACCATTTTGGTTAGATTTCATGAATCCTAATGGACAGTTTGTTCCATTATAAGATAACTATTGATGTTGACCTCTAAAAATGGCTCTTCCACGTGGTCAACTTGTAGCTACTCCACGTATTCCTCCCTACGAAATGAACAAACTGTCAGGCGCACACGGCCGGAACCGACGGGGGTGGCGGCCGTATACACTCCGACGGTCAAGTCAGGTTTGGGTGGTCGGAACAGTGTCCAGGGACTACACAAATCAATCAGTCAATAAAGGGGGAGGAGAATATATAAACTTGTTATGGAGTGCTATCTATTGAGAGTTTCATTACCTTTGCCTCTGGCCAATCTTTGGGTATTTATAGGTGGTATGAACCGTGGGATGTGGAACACGTGTATACATCTGACGGTATGAAGCGTCTGCTCATAGG